ACCCAACATGTCAAACCTTAAATTTGCACCTGCCCGTGAAATGGCAACAAACTTTGGTAACCTATATTTTCCATAGGAGATACTTTAAGGCCCCCTACAGGTTATCAGTTTTGCGTTCACCCTAAATAATGGGCCTAAGATTATTGGTGTCACTCCATCGTGTGTAGCGATATGTAACATGTGTATCGTAATTGAAGTTTTTGTGCATAGTTACTAACGCTTGTATTTATATTCATACGTGTGTGTATGTGGGCTTGAGGGGAGGTCTCAACATTTTTAGGGAGGTTAAAGCGGAGTTCCACCCAAAAGGGGAAGTTCCGCTTTAAAGATTGGTCCCCCACTCATCATAAAGGATTGGCACCTTTGAGGAGCAAGGGGGAACGGGTACCCGAATTTGAATTTGACAGGTGCCTGCTCCCACGTCCGCTGCGTTCGCCTAGGCCAGGGGTAGGCAACCTGTGGCTCTCTAGCTGTCGTGGAACTACATTTCCCATGAGGCATTGCAAAGATTACAAAACTGACAGTTATAGCTATGACTTGCAGAGGCATGATGGAACTTGTAGTCCTGCGGCTCTCAGGTTGCCTACCCCTGGACTAGGCGATCAGAAACGGAAGTTGTCCTCCCTCCCCAAAGTCTTGTGGGACACGTGACAGGTCCCAGAAGATGACAGGGCCATTCAGGAAGCGCAGCGCTACTCGCGCATGCGCAGTGGGCACCAGGCTGTGAAGCCGCAAGCTATCACAGCCTGGTGCCCACACTGAAGCTGCCGGCCTCCTGGAATACAGGAAGGCCGGTGAAACGGGCTGCAATGGGGGCAACATGGGACCGAGGGACAGGTAAGTGGCCGTTTTTTTTAAAAGTCAGCAGCTACAGTTTTTGTAGCTGCTGACTTTTATTTTTTTACAGAGTGAGTGGAACTCCTCTTTAAGTGCTTGGGTGTAACTTCATTTTTTAAAATGTTTTCATTTTTTTAAATTAAATTTTATTTTTTAACACATAGGGGAAAAAAAACCCCTACATGAAGATTTTTTTGGCGACAGATTCTCTTTAATGAGACATCCACAGTCTAAAAGACCCTGGATGTCTCCCTTGTGCCTCATCAAATGTAATGCAGTGCAGATCTCACTGCATTACATTATTTCATGGCCATGGCTTCTTTTTAATGAGACATCAGGGGTCTAAAAGACCCCTGATGCCTTCCCTGTCCTCCAATGAAGCTAATGGTGTGCAGATTATGGTCCATCAGCTTCCTCCCCGGCCGTACTGGCTGAGGAAAGTGACACCAGGACCTGGAAGTGAAGTTTTACATGTTGCTTAGCAGGAAGGGGAGATCAGCGAATGGAAGGGGGACACATGGGGGGTGGGGGGACCAGCAATTACGGGGGGGATGTGGAAGCGACCTGGCAGCACAGCCGCTGGATGGTCTCCACCAGACAGCCACCTTGTCAGATTTAAACACATTCCTGACAGAAAGTGTGGATGGCACACCTATATTTCAAGCGTGGTGCCATCAATGGGGATTAGTCAATCCCAAGATATAGAAGAATAAGAAGAAATGGTTGCAGCACTTAGTTCTTCTTTACTGCTGAAAGAACTCATTACATTATGAAACCATTTTGCAGACAGGCTGGAGCCGTATACACAGCCCTTCATCAGGCTTCAAGTTACAGCCTTAACAAGTATAAAGGTTTACTCCTTATATAATTAGGCAAACTAGATATTACTTCATTTGAAATACAATAACCCCTTACTAACCCCATAATTACACAGATAACAACACGTCTAACATTATCATAATATATATACACTATATTACCAAAAGTATTGGTCGGCCGGCCTTTCAACGCACATGAACTTTATTGGCAACCCAGTCTTAGTCCGTAGGGTTCAATATTGAGTTGGCCCCGCCCTTTGCAGCTATAACAGCTTCAACTCTTCTGGGAAGGCCATCCACAAGGTTTAGGAGGGTCTATGGGAAGGTTGGACCATTCTTCCAGAAGCACATTTGTGAGGTCAGGCAATGATGTTGGACGAGAAGGCCTGGCTCGCAGTCTCCGCTCTAATTCATCCCAAAGGTGTTCTGCCAGGTTGAGGTGCAGGCCAGTCAAGTTCCTCCAACCCAAACTCGCTCATCCATGTCTTTATGGACCTTGCTTTGTGCACTGGTGTGCAGTCATGTTGGAACAGGAAGGGGCCATCCCCAAACTCATCCCACAAAGTTGGGAGCATGAAATTGTCCAAAATATGTTGGTATGCTGTCTCCTTAAGAGTTCCCTTTACTGGAACTAAGAGGCCAAGCCCAACCCCTGAAAAACAACCCCACACCATAATCCCCCCTCCACCAAACTTTACACTTGGCACAATGCAGTCAGGCAAGTAACGCTCCCCTGGCAACCGCCAAACCCAGACACATCCATCATATTGGCAGATGGAGAAGCGTGATTGGTCATTCCAGAGAACACGTCTCCACTACTCTAGGGTCCAGTGGCAGCGTGCTTCACACCACTGCATCCGACGCTTTGCATTGCACTTGGTGATGTAAGGCTTGGATGCAGTTGCTTGGCCATAGAAACCCATTCCATGAAGCTCTCTACACACTGTTGTTGGGCTCATCTGAAGGCCACACCAAGTTTGGAGGTCTTTAGCTATTGACTCTGCAGGCAGTTGATGACTCCTGCGCACTGTGCGCTTCAGCATGCGCTGACCCCGCTCTGTCATGTGACGTGGCCTACCACTTGGTGGCTGAGTTGCTGTTGTTAGCAGTTGCTTCCACTTTGTTATAATCCCACTAACAGTTGAGCGTGGAATATTTAGTAGCCAGGAAATGTCACGGATGGACTTATTACACAGGTGACCACCTATCACGGGACCACGCTTGGAGTCACTGAGCTCCTGGGAGCGACCCATTCTTTCACAAATGTTTGTAGAAGCAGTCTGCATGCCTTGGTGCTTGATTTTATACACCTGTGGCCATGGAGGGGATTGGAACACCTGAATCCAATAATTTGGAGGGCTGGCCCAATACTTTTGGCAATATATATAGGCGGTGAAAAGTATACCAGGTGTATGTTTTTGAATCATGATGTTTCAAGAAATCCTTACCTGGTGGAGCTGTCTTTAGATGTTTCTTATGGACTTTTAGTTATTTTATGGACTTTATTTGGACTTACCACATTTTATTATTAATTGGTTGTATCCCACATACTGTAGTTCCTTACTCTAGGTTTGCACCATATGCTAATTGTATATTTCCTTCAGGAAGAAGAGTCTGTGCGTGAACATGTGATTAGGGGTGTGGCTGTTACTTAGCTCCGCCAGCATGAATCACTGGGGTGAGAGAGCAGGAAGCGTATTCTTAACCTCTTGGCGCCGGCGCCTCCCGGCCATTTAAGAGTTTCAGAAGTTGGGAGGTGGGGGTGGGGTTTTAGGGTCATGTGACCGTTATGATTGACTATCATAGCGGTCACATGATCGGAAAAGGTCCCGATCAAAAGGGGAGATCGGGACCTTTCTGGGAGTAAATATTAGTCACTAATTCCAGGTTTTACTGACAAACAAGGTAGCCGCCCGGACAATAGGGGATCATGATTTAAAGTAAATGTTCTCCCATTATCTTTAAATTTCCTATGAAAAAGGTCCAGGGCATCTTACTGTAGTTCCTCTACTCTGGGTTTCAGGGCGCAGACATACAGTATACGCTGGGAGTGCTCTCGGCACATATGAATTTTTTAATTGCACGCAAATATGCGGCCGCTCGGTGTCAAGGCCCAGACGCCTAGAGGCCACATATTTGTAAATAATTAGTCACACCCAGGGGCGGACTGACAACTCATGGGGCCCCCGGACAATAGGGGATCATGGGGCCCCTGTGTTCTTGCCCAAACTCAAAAAAGCCTATGAAAAAGGTACCAGGGGCATCTCATGGGGCCCTCTACTGACCCTGGGCCCTCGGGCAGTGCCCGAGTTTCCAACTGGTCAGTCCGCCCCTGGTCGCACCCCCTCTGATCAGACAGTCCCTCTCTCTTCCTCAGCATTAGGAGTCTGTGTCAGGACACTTGTGATGATGAGTGTGGCTGTTACTCAGCTCCACCAGCATGGAGCACTGGAGTGGGAGGACAGGAAGTGATATCCCCCCAAAAACAGGGCATTACTTGGCATTTCTAAGCAAAGAATCATACATTCTCCCTCTGTTTAGACACATCTTCTCTTCCTCAGCAATGAGAGTCTGCGTGAGAACATTTGTGATGATGGGTGTGGCAATAGCTCAGCTCCGCCAGCATAGAGCACTGGAGTGGGAGGACAGGAAGTGCATTTACAAAAAGAGAAAAGGGTATTTTTAGGCATTTACAAGCATATAATTAGACCACCCCTCTCTGGTCAGGCACTCTCTATCTTCCTCAGCAATAAAAGTCTGTTTGAGAACATTTGTGATGAGGGGTGTGGCTATAGCTCAGCTCTGCCAGCATAGAGCACTGGAGTGGGAGGACAGGAAGTGCATTTACAAAAAGAGAAAAGGGTATTTTTAGGCATTTACAAGCATATAATTAGACTACCCCTCTCTGGTCAGGCACTCTCTCTCTTCCTCAGCAATAAAAGTCTGTTTGAGAACATTTGTGATGAGGGGTGTGGCTATTACTCAGCTCCGCCAGCATAAATCACTGTAGTTGGAGGACAGGAAATGCATTTTTCCAAAAAGAAAAGGGTATTTTTAGGCATTTCCAAGCAAATAATTAGACACAGGTTCTCTCTGGTTAGACACGCACCCTTTCTTCCCCAGCAGTAGGAGTCTGTGTGTCAGAAAATTTGTGATGAGGGGTGTGGCTGTTACTCAGCTCTGCCAGCATAAATCACTGGAGTGAGAGAGCGGGAAGTGCATTTCCCAAAAAAAGAAAAGGGTATTTTTAAGCATTTCCAAGCAAATAATGTAGCAAATTATAATGGTTACAAAGGTTTGAGACTTTAGTTGGGTTTTAAACAATTCTCTAATCTCTCCAATCAGGTACATATTTGAAGAATGAATGCACCGAGACCTCCGACACCGAGTGCCAGCCATGTGAAGATGGAAGGTACACATCCAACTGGAACTATGCTGCAAGGTGCATGAACTGCAAATCATGTGGTAAGTCCTTAATAGTGGCTACAAGCATTTCCACCTGATGTTGTTATTTTCTAAAGATAAATGAATTATAAAGGACATCCTAGCATTTGTGGACTGTAAGAGAGAGGAAGTACAGCTGGGAGTCCTGCTTAACCTAATGTACTGGGAGACCTGAGCGCACTTGAGAGGAGTGTTGACGCAGGGTGCTGTGATCTTTTCAGGAAGCTACCGTATGTACAGCAGCCTGCCGGACCCTCTCATCAGCCATGATCTGCCTTCATTGCATAGAGAAGCAGAGTTTTGGCTCACATTATTCTCTTTTCTCGTTTTTTACTGCAGATCAACCCTTAATCGAAAAAGAAAAATGTACGCGTACCAAGAAGGAGCAGTGTGGTTGCCCAGATGGGTATACCTGTACCCAGTTAACCGGGACGGGCATTTGCCTGATCTGTAAGCCTGATCTTCTTCCAACTACTGTCCCACTGCCGACCGAGCCAAGGGTTACTCAACCTTCATCTGGTGAGATTCTTATTCTAAAGTCTGTTTTCTTCACTCTTCATACTTCGGTTTTGTTTTTGTCCATAAATGTTTGTTGGGTATTAAAGTTCATTTATACTGAATAGTATTTTTTTCAATGTTGGATAGAGTAGAGTAACAGCCCTGTCAGTTTTTTTTCTGAAAAGGTACTGAACAGGAGTCACTGGACCAGAGGTTGTAGCACTAAATGGGAAACACTGGACCCAAATTTGTGCTATAAATAGGAGGCACTGGACCCAGGGTTGTGGTACTAAATGGGAGGCACTGAACCCAAGGTTGTGGTATTGAATGTGTGGCACTTGACCCAAGGTTATGCTACTAAATAGGAGGCACTGGACCTAAGGTTGTGGTACTGAATGGGAGGCCCTGGGCTCAAGGTTGTGCTACTAAATAGAAGGCACTGGACTCAATGGTGTGGTACTAAATGGGAGGCACTGGACCCAAGGTTGCAGTACTAAATAAGAGACACTGGACTGAAGGTTGTGGTACTAAATGGGAGGCACTGGACCTAAGATGGTGCTACTAAATGGGAGGCACTGGACCTAAGATGGTGCTACTTAATGGGAAGCATTGGACCCAAGGTTGTGGTACTAAATGGGAGGCACTGGACCCAAGGTTGCATTACTAAATAGGACACACTGGATTGAAGGTTATGGTACTAAATGAGAGGCACTGGACCCAACATTGCAGTACTAAATAGGAGGCACTGGAACCAAGGTTTTGGTACAAAATGGGAGGCACTGGACCTAAGGTTGTAGTACTAAATAGGATGCACTGGATCCAAGGTTGTAGTACTAAACAGGAGGCACTGGACCCAGGGTTGTGGTACTAAATGGGAGGCACTGAACCCAATGTTGTGGTATTGAATGTGCGGCACTTGACCCAAGGTTATGCTACTAAATAGGAGCCACTGGACCGAAGGTTGTGCTACTAAATAGAAGGCACTGGACCCAATGGTGTGGTACTAAATGGGAGGCATTGGACCCAAGGTTGTGGTACTAAATGGGAGGCACTGGATCCAAGGTTGCAGTACTAAATAAGAGACACTGGACTGAAGGTTGTGGTACTAAATGGGAGGCACTGGACCTAAGGTTGTAGTACTAAATAGGATGCACTGGATCCAAGGTTGTAGTACTAAACAGGAGGCACTGGACCCAGGGTTGTGGTACTAAATGGGAGGCACTGAACCCAATGTTGTGGTATTGAATGTGCGGCACTTGACCCAAGGTTATGCTACTAAATAGGAGCCACTGGACCGAAGGTTGTGCTACTAAATAGAAGGCACTGGACCCAATGGTGTGGTACTAAATGGGAGGCATTGGACCCAAGGTTGTGGTACTAAATGGGAGGCACTGGATCCAAGGTTGCAGTACTAAATAAGAGACACTGGACTGAAGGTTGTGGTACTAAATGGGAGGCACTGGATCTAAGGTGGTGCTACTTAATGGGAGGCATTGGACCCAAGGTTGTGGTACTAAATGGGAGGCACTGGACCCAAGGTTGCATTACTAAATAGGACACACTGGATTGAAGGTTATGGTACTAAATGAGAGGCACTGGGCCCAACATTGCAGTACTAATGGGAGGCACTGGACCTAAGGTTTTGGTACTAAATGGGAGGCACTGGACCCAAGGTTGCGGTACTAAATGGGAGGCACTGGAACCAAGGTTTTGGTACAAAATGGGAGGCACTGGACCTAAGGTTGTAGTACTAAATGGGATGCACTGGATCCAAGGTTGTAGTACTAAACAGGAGGCACTGGACCCAATATTGTAGTGCTACATGTGAGGCACTGGACCCAAGATTGTGATGCTAAATGGGAGACATTGGACCGAGGATTGTTCTTAAATGGAAGTAAGATGAAGAAAAAACTCCCCCTAAGGGTGGGATTTTTTAGGCAATATATGAACAAGGTTTAAAAGACAATTAAGAATGATTTTTATTACATAATATCTAAAAGGTAAGACAATAACACAATAGTTTCCACATGTTAATCAATTATTGCAAAAATGATATACAGCAATTTATCATACAAGCAGCAGAGACTCTAGACCGAGTACCCGACGCATTTCGGAGGCACAGCTCCTTTTTCAGGGGTAACTCTACATACAATCCGATAAGATACGATTGGCGAACTTCTTCTGCCTTCCTTACTCTGACATCTATGCATTTGAGACCCTAGTGCAGGGGACATGTAGTGAGGAAGATCTATTCAACTGCAGAACGTATAATTTTCAATTTTTGTCATTTGGGTGTCCTGTGCCCCCCCCCCCCCCCCCTACTCATTAGGAGATTCCAGTGTCTGCATACGGTGATTCTTGGGGAATATGGGGAAACTCACACCCTCCCTCCTCTTCTTTTAAAGGAGGGGTGATATATGGCCACACTGTTCCCAATAATAATTTTTTTACCTCGATTGTGCTATCTTATCGTATTGTATGCAGTGGTATTCCTGAAGAAGGAGCCGTGCCTCTGAAACGCGTCGGATACTCGGTCTAGCGTCTCTGCTTGTATGATATATCCCTGTATATCATTTTTGTAATAATTGATTGACATGTGGAACCTATTATGTCTTACCTTTTTAGATATTATGTAATAAAAATCATTCTTAATTGTCTTTTAAACCTTGTTCATATATTGCCTAAAAAATCCCACCCTTAGGTGGAGTTTTTTTCTTGATCGAATTTCACACAAGGGATGTTGGCAATCATGCGAGAAACCTCCTATAACTTTTATTAAATGGAAGTAAAGTCTTGAACTGAAAAGAGTGTAAACAATTCTCACTTGCTCTACCCCCTGATAGGCACCATCATTTTTGAATTTTTGGTAGAGTTCCTAGGCACATTTGTGCATGCATGGGAATTTTCCATACATGCGCAAACACAGCAGTTGTGAAAGTTTCATAGACAGCTGTCTTTGCACATGCACGGAGAAAGCCTATGCTTAGGCAAGCAGAATCCGAGAGAAGTGGTGCTAATGTCATACTCACTTAGGCGAGATATATGGAAGTAGAATATTAGTATCGAAATGTAAGAGAGGGAGGGAAGGAGGAAGAGGTCCAGCTGTGCAGTTCTCAAGCATGAGACAGCCTTCTGTGGTATCGTGGAGCCTTCCAGGAGAGGGAAGAAAGAGAGCAATACATCGATTGGCCTATAGTCCAAAAGTATTTATTCCAAAAGAAAACCCACCAACACATTTTTAGGCCAGGCATCCCTTCATCAGGGCTAAAGACAATGTGAACAATGCAAATTACGAAGGCCCACTTTGCTGCCTAAGTGGCATGGCCACCTCATATTGGCTGTCCAGAGGTGGGATTCTCTCTGGCTCCAGAAGATGGCAGTGGATGGATGTTCCCACAATGTGGGAACTGGTCAGCGGTCAGCATTGATGGCAGTGCCAGATTACTGATTTCCCCTCCTCGTAAAAGTCAAGGTGGATCACATATCGCATGAAGGTGGACTTGGGTAAGCTAAACCTGCCTTAAGGCTTTAAAAAAAATAATTTGACTGTATCTTCTTCGTGGGAGACCTAACATGTCACAACTGCACCTTCTTGTTAGGAAATAATATTCATCACTTAGGGGTCTGTTTATAAAAAAATTTGCTGTACAAATGTCTCAAGCATTTGCCATCACAAACAGGGGCGGACTGACAACTTATGGGGCCCCCTGGCAATAGGGGATCATGGGGCCCCTGTGTCCTTGCCCAAACTCAAAAAAGCGTATGAAAAAGGTACCAGGGGCCTCTCATGGGGCCCCCTACTGACCCCAGGCCCTCTGGTAGTGCCTGAGTTTTCAAATGGTCAGTCCGTCCCTGATCACAAATAATCTCCTTAATGTGTGCAATGTATGTAATCGCCTTAATGTGTGTTTCCCAAGATCATCAGTGCCACCTACTGGCGATAATGCGGTACTTTCTGAAATACCTCAATCAGCAGAATACTACATTATGGCCTCTAGATGGAGTTGATGATCTTAGTAAATAAACATATTACGGCGATTATACTTGTTGGTTGTGCAAATTGTTTATAAAAATAGCCCCAAATCACTAGCTTGGTTAGAAATTCTCAAATTCCAGTAAAATAATCTACCTAGAAACATTTCTCATGGCATATGCAGAGATGTTGTACTACAAGCAGGGCTTTTGTTCTCAGCAGGAACATTTCCAGCACCTCCAGCACTGAATGTATGAAATGGCAAGGTGTGCTAGGAGGGTCTATTGACATTGGAGGGAATCTATTTTTGCGTAGGGGTTTATTGTTGCCGGGGGTGGATCTATTGTTGATGGGGGTGGATCTATTGTTGCTGAGGGGTTAGCTGTTGCTGGGAAGGATCTATTGCTGAGGGAGAGGTCTATTGATGCTGGCTGCTGTTGTTCCTCTTGTAGATCTATTGTTGCTGGGGGGCATTTTGTTACGTTGGGATCTACTGTTGTGGGGGATATATTGTTGTGGGGTGGCTATTGTTGTTGATGGATCTATTATTGCTGCTTTGCTTGAGATCATTAACAAATTCCATACAAATTACTTAGCACGACAAAATGATACTTTGTTCTGTATTCAATAAAAGGGGTGGTACTGGGAGGTGGGTAGGGGATGGAAACAAGGGATGGTGCTCAGAGTTCGGTAGGGGGTGGAACTAAGGGATGGTGCCCAGAGGTCAGTAGGGGGTGGTACCAAGGGACAGTGCTTAGAAATGGCTGGGGGTGGAACCAAGGGACAGTGCTCAGAGGTAAGTAGAGGGTGGAACCAAGGGTGGTGCTCAGAAGTGGGTAGGGGGTGGAACCAAGGGACGTTGCCCAGAGGTGGGTAGGGGATGGAATCAAAGGACTGTGCTCAGAGGTGGATAGGGGTTGGAACCAAGGGACATTGATGAGAGATGGCTAGGGCTTGGAACCAAGGGATGGTGCTCAGAGGTGGCTAGTGGGTGGAACCAAGGGATGGTGCTAAGAGGTGGGTAGGGGGTGGAACCAAGGGACGGTACTCAGAGGTATGTAGAGGGTGGAACCAAGGGATGGTGCTCAGAAGTGGGTAGGGGGTGTAAACAAGGGACGTTGCCCAGAGGTGGGTAGGTGATGGAATCAAAGGACTATGCTCAGAGGTGGATAGTGGGTGGAACCAAGGATTGGTGCTCAGAGGTGGGTAGGGTGTGGAACCAGGGGATGTTGCCTAGAGGTGGGTAGAGGGTGGAACTAAGGGACAGTGCTCAGAGGTATGTAGGTGGTGGAACCAAGGGATGGTGCTCAAAAGTAGGTAGGGGGTGGAATCAAGGAATTGTGCTCAGAGGTGGGTAGGGGGTGGAACCAAGGGACGTTGTTTAGAGTTGGGTAGGGGGTAGAGCCAAGGAACGTTGCTCAGAGGTGGGTAGGGGGTGGAACTAAGGGACGGTGCTCAGAGGTGGCTAGTGGGTGGAACCAAAAGATGGTGCTCAGAGGTGGGTAGGGGGTGGAACTAAGGGACGTTGCCCAGAGGTGGGTAGGGGGTGAAACCAAGGGACGGTGTTCAGAGGTGCGTTGGAGGTGGAACCAAGGGATGTTGCTCAGAGGTGGGTAGGGAGTGGAACCAAGGGACTGTGCTTGAAGGTGGGTGGGGTGTGCAGACAAGAGGTGACTCATAAGTGGGGAGTTCCTGCACCTATTCTCTGGAAAAAAAAAGCCCTGACTACAACATTCCCCTCTTCAGAAAACCTTCGGTAAACAACCCAGCCACATACAGTGTTTACATTAAAGTTAGTGGTTGGCGAATGTTAATCGGTGACTCAAGCAACGTGTATTGGAAACTCCCAAATGATGTGTGTCCTGTGGTTGATCCTGTTTTGGATGGACATATGTCCATATAGTTATAGGTGTTAACATGGCAGCCCTTATCTTTTAATTATATACTACAGTTATATAAAGGGTGGTTACCACCTGGGGCAAACTGACAACTCATGGGGCCCCCGGGCAATAGGGAATCATGGGGCCCCTGTGTCCTTGCCCAAACTCAAAAAAGCCTATGAAAAAGGTACCAAGGGCATCTCATGGGGCCCCCTACTGACCCCGAGCCCTCGGGCATTGACGAGTTTCCAAATGGTCAGTCCACCCCTGGTTACCACTTTCCAGAGGCCTTCTGGGATATGGTAGAGGCCTGTAAAAAATCTACTGTATATGTTGACTATGGGGGTTATTTACTAAAACTGCATGGTGCAAATTCTGGTGCAGCTCTGCAGAGAAACCAATCAGCTTCCAAGTTTTATTGTCAAGGCTTAACTGAACAATCTGAAGTTGGAAGCTAACTGTCTCCCATGCACAGCTGCACCAGATTCGGAGTGCTCCAGTTTTAGTAAATCTCTCACATGGCTTTGAAAGGTCAGAATACCCTGGAATTTCCCATTGGTAAAGGGAAAGCCCATCGGTTCCATTAAGTTGGGCAATGTCACCCCCTGCAGGTTAACTGGGATATTACAGGTTGGCTTTTAATAAAAAGAGTAACAATTTATTTAACCCCTCGCCCTCCTGAGGATTCCCCCCCCCCCTTCCTGACCAGGCCATTTTTTTTGCGATACAGCGCTGCATTACTTTAACTGACAATTGTGTGGTCATGCAACGCTGCACCCAAATTAAATTTACGTCCTTTTTTCCCACAAATTGAGTTTTCTTTCGGTGGTATTTGATCACCTGTGCGGTTTTTATTTTTTGCGCTATAAAAAAAAAGATCGACAATTTTGAGAAAAAAACAATATTTTTGACTTCTTCCTATTAAGCATGTCCAGTAAAAAAAAAATTAAATGCAGGGCACTGCGTTTAGTAACACTTTAACCACTTGCCCTCCAGAGGATTTACCCCCCTTCCTGACCAGGTCATTTTTGGTGCTGCGTTACTTTAACTGACAATTTCGCAGTCATGCAACACTTTACATAAATGAAATTTAGGTCAATTTTTCCCCACAAATGGAGCTTTCTTTCAGTGGTATTTGATCGCTTGTGCGTTTTTTTTTTTTGCGCTATAAACAAAAAATTTTTAAAAAAAACAATATTTTTTACTTTTTGCTATAAAACATATCCAATAAAAAAAAATAAAAAAAATAAAATTTCATCATAAATTTAGGCCAGAATGTATTCTGCTCCGTGTCCTTGCTACAAAAAAAACCAATACGTGTAAATTAATTTGTTTATGTGAAAGTTATAGCATCTACAAATGGCGGTATAGATACTGGGATTTTTTTTTTTTTTACTAGTAATGGCGGCGATCAGTGACTTATAGTGGGACTGCGGGACTGCAGCGGGCATTCTGACACTGGGGGAGAACTGACTTGGTGTCACTGACATCCCCAGTGACACCAATAGAGTGATCAGTGCTAATAAAAAGCACTGACACTGTACTAATGACACTGGGCAGGAAGGGATTAACATGCAGGGCAATCAAAGGGTTAACTGTGTGCTGTGTGTGTGTGTTCTGCACTGTAAGCACACTGCTTTGTATGACTCTGCTATGCAAAGCCATACAAAGCAGTGTGCAGGAGTTGACAAGGGAGAGATCTGTGTTGTTTATACAGAGTTCTCTCCCCCTTTGATAATTCTCGGAAATCGCCAGGTGCCGTCAGGGAATCACTGCCCGGGACCCAGTGATTGACAGCAAAGGCCGCGAATGGCAGCACCAGTATGGTGCACATGTGGCGCGCACATGCCTCCTACCCAGCACTGCAAAATCATTTATATATACGTGATTTTGCACACCCGTGCCGCTCTGTAGCAGTATTTCTGTTATAGGGCGGCGCGGAAGCAGTTAAAGAGTAACTTTTGCAGAAATAAACAACAACCCCCATTGGGTGATCAACATACATTGCAATATGCCAATGTGCAGACTGAATCTGAACGGGAGTGACTTTTTCATTATTATTCAGCTGATACACCTGCAGTGCTCTATTGAAGAAAGCGCCAAGGTCTGCATCCCTTTAGAAGTGATTATTCCTAATCACGTAATCGCCAAAAATAAAATTTATGTTGCAGAGGATGCCTAAAACCTGACTTGTATCTAAGTGCAGACTTCTGGGAGAATCAGTGAGCCAATCACTCAAGCAGGAAATTACTTTTTTTTTTCCTTTATGAAAGTGGTGCAAGTATCTAAACCTGACCAGCCTCTTGCAGTCCACCGTTCAGCAGAGCTTAGGCTACTAGAAGGAGAAGCAGCACAGGTAGACAGTTGTGTTCCAGTGGAAGGAGTATGCTGATGGTAGAAGAGAGCCAGTGGTGTATGTAGGTTTTGTGCTACCCTAGGCCACACAAAAATTGCCCCCCCCCCCCTTCCTGTGGAGAGAGCATGACACCGACCAATGCCACCCCACCCCCCCATGGGGGAGAGAGCCAGAGACATTGACCAACAACACCCCCCCCCCCCCCAAGACAGCCTTCCACTACCTCTGCCCCCCATATACCACCTTCCCCACCCAGCGAGAGAGACACTCGCCTTCACAGCTCAGAACATCCTCCGGAATGAGAGTCGGGCTCTGAATACACCATCAACCAACCCTCAGCCTCTCTCAGATCCCACCTGATCCCCATGTCGCGTGTGTCCCTTCTTCAGTCCCTTCTTCCAGGGGGCAGTGCTGCCCCTCTGAAAAATGCCGCCCTAGGCAAATGCCTTGTTTGCCTTGTGGTAAACGCCCCTGGACAGAGAGATGAGGTCATCAGTATCCTTCTACTTTTTTCACTGTCCAATCAAAGGGTGGGGGAGGGACAAAGACATGTACATTTTAGTGATCTGAAGCAGAGAAACATCAGGTCTCCTGCCCTCCTAGGCAGAGCTGTACTGTGGGACAGAGCTGTGTAAATCTCATCTCTTTGGCAGGCAAAACAGCTCTCTTATACAGTATGTCATTCATTTTTGTATTTGGCTGGTTGCCTAGATGCCAGCTCTACTTTTTTTATCTAAATATGAATTTCTGTTACAGTACCTGATGGTCTATATCCATCCTTTTATAGTTTGTATTTACAATGTAGATTCCCTGTGTGACAGGTGCTCTTTGATATCATGGCAGCCTCTATGTAATGGATAACCGGTCTCTCTTTTGGCCTCTCTCCATAGATTATCCTCCATGGGTCATCCCCGTCATCGTCGTTGTCGCAGTGTTCATAGTGCTCGTTACTTTGTCAATGATATTCCTATATCGCAACAAGTCCAACATCTTGGAGAAGCTTGGTGAGTAGACCCACGACTCACTAGAAAGGTCTATTATAGATATAGTTATGTGTTTATAGATGTCATAGATCTGTGTTTTGGTGTAGAGATGAGGATCCCATTGTCCTGGGCCATTCATTTCATTTATTTAGGTAAGTAAAATTTTAAAATGAAAGGCTATTCAAACCCAAGAACAAAAATGAAATACACTATATTGCCAAAAGTATTGGGATGGCTGCCTGCCTTTCCACGCACATGAATTTTAATGGCCCCCCAGTCTTAGTCCGTAGGGATCAATATTGAGTTGGCCCCGCCCTTTGCAGCTATCCAAGGTTATCCAAGCCGTCCACAAGGTTTAGGAGGGTGTCTATGGGAAGGTTGGACCATTCTTCCAGAAGCACATTTGTGAGGTCAGGCACTGATGTCGGGGGAGGAGGCCTGGCTCACAGTCATCGCTCTAATTCATCCCAAAGGTGTTCTATGGGGTTGAGGTCAGGACTCTGTGCAGGCCAGTCAAGTTCCTCCACCCCAAACTGGCTCCTCCATGTCTTTATGGACCATTCTTTGTGCACTGGAAATGTTGGAACAGGAAGGGGCTATCCCCAAACTCTTCCCACAAAGTTGGGAGCATGAAACTGTCCAAAATGTCTTGGTATGATGACTCCTTAAGAGTTTCCTTCACTGGAACTAGGGGCCAAGCCCAACCCCTGAAAAACAACCCCACACCATAATCCCCCCTCCACCAAACTACACTTGGCACAACGCAGTCAGGCAAGTACCGTTCTCCTGGCAACCACCAAAACCAGACAGGGCCACCGGATTGACAGAGAAACGTGATTGGTCACTCCAGAGAACACGTCTCCGCTGCTCTAGAGTCCAGTGGAGGCATGCTTTACACCACGGCAGCCGACGCTTTGCATTGCACTTGGTGATGTAAGGCTTGCATGCAGATGCTCGGCCATGGAAATCCATTCCATGAAGCTCTCTACACACTGCTGTTGGGCTCATCTGAAGGCCACACCAAGTTTGGAGGTATTTAGCTATTGACTCTGCAGACAGTTGGTGACTTCTGCGCACTGTGCGCTTCAGCATGCGCTGACCCCGCTCTGTCATCTGACGTGGCCTACCACTTGGTGGCTGAGTGGCTGTTGTTCCCAGTTTCTTCCACTTTGTTATAATCCCACTAACAGTTGAGCGTGGAATATTTAGTAGCCAGGAAATGTCACGGATGGACTTATTGCCCAGGTGACCACCTATCACGGGACCACGCTTGGAGTCACTGAGCTCCTGAGAGTGACCCATTCTTTCACCAATGTTTGTAGAAGCAGTCTGCATGCCTAGGGGCTTGATTTTATATACCTGTGGCCATAGAGGTGATTGGAAAACCTGAATCACATGATTGGGAGGGCGGGGCCAATACTTTTGGCAATATAGTGTATATGTCAGCTTACCAGTCCTTAGATGTGGTGGCTGCCTTAGTTTTCCTTTTTCAGGCTAAGAACAGTTTCAGCACGTATAGAAAAATACCTGTTGACCTAGCCATAAATGCAATGCCCTTGTATAAACTACACCCCCTCCCCCCATGTAATGGAGATGAATAGAGAAAGACCTGTTTGTAATCCATATCAGGAGGTCAGGAGAGCATATTAGGCTGCTAACCATGGCTCTCTGCATAAATTGTGATTTTATTAATTATTATGTGTTACTTTGATTGTCTTTATGATCCAAGGCGCCTAATATAGCAGCACCTAGACGCACAAATACATAGGCATGTGAATGTTTCATTCACCTAAATCAGCCTTTCTCAATCTTTTATCCCAGAGGAACCCCTAATATAATTTTCGGGTCTCAGGGAACTCCATATGAAACCAATTCATTAGGGGTCAATGGCAAAAACGCCCCTTACATTGGTGTTCAAAATGACACCCTAAGGCCCTGTTTACATGGGTGGCAAGGGGGTGCTAAAAATAGGAAGTTGAACTGTGGTTGTGACCCCTCCCCCAAAGCCACTGTTCTACAACCCTCTAAAAAGTAATCCACTGTGGTGTAAATGAGGCCCTGTAGACAGCTGAAAAGATAACTAGTATCATGTTGTTGGCGTTGCCACGTGGCGATGGTCTTGGATCCATAAGGGCATCATTATTATAATTTTTGTTATTATACAGGATTTATGGCGGCAACACTTTGCTCAGCGCTTTACAATATAAAGGGAGACAATACAGCAACAATACAGTTCAATACAGAAGGAATAGGAGGGCCCTGCTCATAAACCTTACAGTCTAAAGGGATGGGGGAGGTGGTACAAAAGGTAATATCTGCAGGGGATGATCTGGTGGAGGTGACTCAAGTACAGTTTTTAGGTGGAGGTGGGGTAGACTTCCCTGAAAAAAAGGCAGAAAGGGTAGGAGCTGACCAGACATACTTGGGTAGGGAGTTCCAGGGGATGGGAGGGTTCTGGAGAAGTCCTGGAGGTGAGCATGAGAAGAGGTGACCAAGGAACTAGAGAACCGGAGGTCATGGAAGGAGTAGAAAGGACTATTCGGGCAATATCTGCAGATGATGTAGCATCATCCATTAAGAGGTCGACCACAGGAGCCGCTAGGAACCTCTGGAGGAACAATGGCAGATCCAAACAATTGAAGTCCTTTTCAAATCTGAAAGAGCCAGGAAAGAAGCAATACAAGGATCAAGTTCCAACCAAGAAGATCCATCCAAAGCCGGGCATCAGAGATGACCCAGGCATCGTTGTCTTATGTTGTCTTAGCCTTTATTATTAGGTGTATACATTGTTTCCATGGGTATTACTGTAAATATCCATTTTTTAACAATCTTATTTTCTTTGTTTTGCAGGTTGCATGACTAAAGTCAAGGTAAGATTTTTCCTGTGCAGTAACAATAAATATCGGCATATAGAATCTGAGGGCCCTTGTGCTTGGGATTTGTCTTCAACATACCTAAGTGCACCTGTCACCTCCACCTAGTACGGTGCTTAATACTGAACTTCAGGCATGCCGGTATACTTATACTGTACAGAGATAAAGTACATGCTGGGTTTACAGATATTTCAACTGCCTAAAGATTTGTATTTCTGTACATTCAGTCCTGAGATAAAGTCCTGGCACATTCAACTTGAAGACATGACTTTGCGCTATTGCAGACGAAAAAGGCAAGTAGGTCCCCATATGGAAGAAAAATATATTTGAAATATATTTGAAATATATTCTTCCCAAATATATTGCCAAATACTACAATCTTGGCCATATTCAATATATTTCAAAATATATTTCAATAGGTTAAAAAAAAAAAAATATATATATATATAATATATATATATACATATACAGTTGCAAGAAAAAGTATGTGAACCCCTTGGGATTACGTGGAGTTTTGCATGAATTGGGCATAAAATGTGCTCTGAACGTCATCTAAGTCACAACAATAGAAGAACACAGTCTGCTGAACATAATACTACACAAAACATTAGATGTTGCCATGGTTTAATTGCACATAACATGTAAACATTCACAGTGCAGGGAGGAAAAAGTATGTGAGGCCCGAGCTTAATGACTTCTCCCAGAGCTAATTGGAGCCAGGAGTGAGCCAACCTTGACTCCAATCAGTGTGATGATATTGGATGTGTTGCTGACAGCTGTCCTACCCTTAAAAAACACACACCTGTTTTGGGTTTACTGGTTTCAAGAAGCACTGTCTGATGTGAACCATGCCTCGCAGAAAAGAGCTCTCAGAAGACCTACGATCAAGAATTGTTGACTTGCATGAAGCTGGAAAGGGTTACAAAAGTATCTCCAAAAGCCTTGATGTTCATGTGTTCACAGTAAGACAGACTGTCTACAAATGGAGAATGTTTAGCACTGTTGCTACTCTCCCTAGACGTGGTCGTCCTGTAAAAATGACTGCAAGAGCACAGCGCAGAATGCTGCATGAGGTAAAGAAGAATCCCAGAGTGTCAGCTAAAGACCTACAGAAATCTCTGGCACATGCTAACATTTTTGTTGACACATCTACAATAAGGAAAACATTAAACAAGAATAGAGTACATGGGAGGACACCACGGAGGAAGCCATTGCTGTCCAAAAAGAATATTGCAGCACGTTTGAAGTTTGCAAAAGAGCACCTGGATGTTCCACAGCACTACTGGCAAAATATACTGTGGACAGATGAAACCAAGATTGAGTTGTTTGGGAAGAACACACAACACTATGTGTGGAGAAAAAAAGGCACAGCACACCAACATCAAAACCTCATCCCCACTGTGAAACATGGCGGAGGGAGCATCATGGTTTGGGGCTGCTTTGCTGCCTCAGGGCCTGGACGGATTGTTGTCATTGATGGGAAAATGAATTCCAGAGTTTATCAAGACATTTTGCAGGAAAACGTACGACCATCTGTCCGCCAACTGAAGCTCCGCAGAGGATGGGTGATGCAACAGGACAATGACCCAAAGCATACACGTCATTCAACAAAACAATGGCTGCAACAGCACAGGATACGCCTTCTGGAGTGGCCCAGTCAGAGTCCTGACCTCAACCCGATTGAAATGCTGTGGCATGTCCTTAAGAGAGCGATTCACACCAGACATCCCAAGAATATTGCTACACTGAAACAGTTTTGTGAAGAGGAGTGGTCCAAAGTTACTCCAGATCGTTGTGCAGGTCTGATCTGCAACTACAGGAAACGTTTGGTTGAGGTTATTGATGCCAAAGGAGGGTCAACCAGTTATTAAGTCCAAAGGTTCACATACTTTTTCCTCCCTGCACTGTGAATGTTTACATGTTATGTGCAATTAAACTATGGCAACATCTAATGTTTGTGTAGTATTATGTTCAGCAGACTGTGTTCTTCTATTGTTGTGACTTAGATGAAGTTCAGAGCACATTTTATGCCCAATTCATGCAAAACTCCACGTAATCCCAAGGGGTTCACATACTTTTTCTTGCAACTGTATATATATATATACTCTGCATGTTGACATGCGCTTTTATTACAAAATATATGAACAATATTTTTAAAAATACATTTCAAATATACTGTATGTCTTTAAAAATACAAATCAAATTTTTGGAATGCATTTACAAATATATGTAACTATGACTTTTTTATATGTTAAAAAAAGCTGAAGGATATATTTAAAAAAATATATTTTTTTAGATATATTCTTCAGATTTTTTTTTAACATATAAAAAAAGGTCATTTTAACATAAATTTTTACATATACTTGTAAATGCATTACAAAAATGTAGATTTGTATTTTTAAATTAGTTTTTTATGTTAAAAAAAAGCTGAAGAATATATTTAAAAAAATATATTTCTAAAAATACATATTTTTAAAATATATTATTCAGATTTTTTTTTAACATATAAAAAAAGTCATTTTAACATATATTTTTACTTATATTTGTAAATGCATTCCAAAAATGTAGATTTCTATTTTTAAAGACATACAGTATATTTGAAATGTATTTTTAACCCCTTCACGTCGGCGCCTCCCGGCCCTTTAAAGGTTCCAGAAGCCGGGAGATGGGGTTTAGGGTCATGCGCCGTCACATGATCAGGAAAGAGGAGATCAGGACCTTTCCGTGGGTACCGGACATGTGTGCTGAGAGCGCGCAGGGCGCGCGCTCTCGGCACATATGTCCTTTTTTAATAGAACGCAAATGTGCGGCCGCTCTGCGTCTAGGCCCAGACGCCGGGAGGCCGCACATTTGTGTGTGACCGGAGGTTAAAAATATTTTTCATATATTTTATAATAAAAAACGCATTTCAACCTGCAGTGTGTGTATATATATATATATATATATATATATATATATATACTTATTTATTGAAATACATTTTGAAATATATTGAATATGGTCAAAATTGTAGTATTTCAAATACACGACAATATATTTGGGAAGAATATTTTTATAATATATTTCAAATATATTTTTCTTCCATGTGGGTCTTGTCCATGCTTCCAGCTTTTTAAATGGACAACGAAGGCGAAGCAGCAGACTGATGGGCTCATCTTTCTGTCACTCTGCTGTCTCCTTCTATTAGCGTGTTATTACTTGTTAGCACATGAGCACTGAGGCACAACTGAATGGCTCCTTGTGCTGCTTCTCCCTCTCTTAGTCTGAGCTCTGCTGCACAAAGATTGAGGGAGGCTGATACCAAGGTAGAACAAGCAACACAGAAGTTGCAATTTTATATATATATATATATATATATATATATATATATATATATATATATAGATAGATAGTATATGCTCCAGGAGGAGTCAATTCCCCCAGTACAGTCCCCTCCCTTCTTCATTGCCCTCTCCTCTTCTGGGAGTGTCCAGTTACTATAAAACAACAGATATAAAACAACAGCCTGGCGCATTACCTTCGTAAACGCTTTAGTAAATAAATGAAAGTAATATACTCCCAATGTATCAATATCTTACACAATATATAAGTCATTACTCACAGTAATGTACTTCTTCAGGGCTCTGAGAAAGAGGGGCTGCCCCTTGAAACCCGTTAGCCATATTGGACGCTAAAGGGTCTTACTGTGCTGCAAGCTAAGCGCTTGCGGATCTGGCAACCGTCGCATCTTGATTAATTGATATGCCTGTTAACAATACTGTCTGTGCTGGCCCAGCTCCTTGGTACCTCCCCTCACCTCCCTATATAATCTTTTATGTAGCTGCCGGGGGAGGACTAAAGGGGAATCCTATAGTGTGTCACTTGAATGACACCTCTGAGTCTTCTGGGGCTGCTGACATCACATTAAAGATGGTGGCACCCAGTCTCGGGCATTCGGACGAAAAAACAATAAATGCAACTGTGATCTTATTGAAAGATATATTCTCTATAAATAAAATTTTTATAAACTCAAGTTAAGCAATTTTCTAAAATCTTTTCCTTTTTATCTTTCTCTCCAGAAACCTCTGCCTGAGAGTGCAGGTAAGGAATTAGAACAGCTTCTACATCTTTGAGCCAAGGATTAAAGCCCGGCTAAGGTCCAAGGATATAGCTGAGCAGTCAGACAGACATTGGACTTGACAGCCTGTATTTCCATAGCCTTACCCCTAACTGTTCTGACTCAGCAGGAGGTGTATCTGCAGAGAGACCGCTGCTTCCAAAGAGAGAGCAAAGGTCCTTCTCTGCTTTGGCCACCTAGAAGGCTTTGGAGAACTTTAGTCTTGATGCCTCCAGAATGTATGTAGTTGACTGAAACCAAAAGTTCAGTTGGACTTTACTCATTTCCTTCCATGCATGACACCCATTGGTACCTGCAGCATGGCCAAATGTCAGCTGTTCTGAATAGGCACTTTAGATAGCCTGCTCCCTCCTTCCCCCTCACATGCTTATTGGCCCACAAATATTTTGGGCTGCTTTCTTGGCCAGTAAATGTATGAGGTCGGAGGGGTCAGGCTGGTTCCCTCGCTACAAGAAAGTGGCGGAGGTTTGCATGTTTAGTGTGGGCAGCTTTTGGCAAAAGCAGATGGGAATGAAAGTTGCTGCACCACAACCTGCCCACCTGTTTTTTGTCACTTTATCCCCTTCCCGCCCAGCCTGGTGGCCCTTTAAAAAGCTCTGAATGCCTGGAGGGTACGAAGGATTGGCGATCATATGACCACTGTAATTGACTGACATAGTGGTCACATGATCAGGAGCTGGTCCATTCAACTTATGATCATTAGTGGGGGCCAGGAGCTGTCTCTGTGCTGGTGAGCAAACGCTCAGCACAGAAACTTTGCCTGCACAGTGGACATTAATGTCCACCCTTTTGCTGAGCACATATGTGCTAAGTGGGTGGCAACAGGTTAAATGGAGACTGTGAGCATGGGCATACAGGAGCCTGTGAGCATGGGCATACAGGAGCCTGTGAGCATGGGCATATAGGAGCCTGTGAGCATGGGCATATAGGAGCTGCAAATACGGACTTGGTTGACAGACTGTCATCCAAGTTCTTCCTTCATTATCTATTCACTGATTTATATAAAGCATGCAGGACAGAAGTTCAGCCATTTCAGACTTCACTTGCTGCATGCTTGTTCTTGATCCATGGCTTACTAGACATAGAAGCCTGGGCCAGGATGATGGACCTGCTTTGAAAAGCATGTCAACAGTGACAACACTGTCTCCTCTATCCTCAAAGGTGTCCTCCAAGATTTCATTGACTTATCAGTTGATTCCACCTATTCTCCCCTTACGTTACATCTCTTCTACTCTGTTGTACAGGTTTGGAAGTCAATTTCCCCCCACCCATAACCCAAAATCCCCAACAAGAGCTGCGCTTCCCCATGGAAGAGACTGATCCATTGCAAAGTTTTGAGTATGCCCCCTGAACTCTGTACCCTAGTACCCCATCTGAGCGTCAGACATCACTCTTATCAGCCAAGACTGGGCTGCTTCTATCCCCGGGGTCAAGTCGGAGCTGCTGCTTTGCACCCTCAAGCCACTGTAAGGTGTGTCTACAGTAAAGTGGAACTTGTGCAAGAAGCAATAGGCAGCTTTGAAGGCACCTCTATCCTCCTACAATGCAGTAATGTGACTACACCATACCCAGCTTCCTGTCTCCAAAGATCATGGAAAAAAAAGTTGACATGGCTGCCATGATGGTCTTACTTCTCTGGATACATAGTCATGTGGCTGCAAAGCATGGCCCCAAATTGACAATATCTTGGAAGCATGGGGAAAACCAAGACCACAGCTGCCTTCTTTCTTCAGTGTTATCCTTCAGAAGATCTACTCTTCTTTGTACAAGGGAATATGGGAAGAACTATTGACATAGCAGGCATGACAGATTAATACTCCTGCATGATAATGGTTTTCTCTTGAGGCCAGTAATGTGGAAGAGCTATATAAATGCTACAAGATCGTTCTCTGCTATGTTTCCTAAGTGTGTGTTGCAGCAGAGGAGGTCCATCTACCACCATCACCATTCTGGTCTTCGGTAACCAACTTGCTGTGTTGACTTTTGCTCCTTCTTCCCCTATAGCCAGCTATCCCCCAACCTCTACTCAGCACACACTACCTGTCTCTGCAGGACAAGAGCCAACTTACTGGACAGTGGTTGGTAAATGAACAAACTAATGGACCTCTGGATTCAACACAGATGTGAAAACAGTAATTTGGAGTGAAGCTCAGTTGCGGTAATGAAGTATGAACTGTGTGATACCAATCTAGACCTTAATCTCAAGTTTGCTTTATGGAACATTAAGCTTGTGAAACCCTCCAGCTCAATTATCCATATGGTAGAGGGATGAAAAAAACTATACAGGTTATGGTGAGAATAGGCTACAAGAATCAAACTATTAATATAATACATACTATTTGTTTTTTTCGCTCTGCAGTGCAGTGTGCATACTTGAAACTAACACCAGGTGCAATTAAAAAGTGAGCACACAAAACAGTGCCCAGGATGTAACACATGTTCCTCCTCCAAAGAGAAAGAACCCTGGACCTGATCCCCATGCAGTGCAAGACTCCTAAGGGGACTGAGGTACTTGTGGTCCATCTGGTTGAAGCCAGGTGGACCCCATTCTTCAGGCAACCTGCCAGAGCAAGGTCCACCCAGGGTGGTGCTCCCCCAAAGGGGAAGAACCTGACCATAAAGCCAAGTCCCCCCCAGATTTGTAGGGCACATCCAAGAACCTTCTCCTTACCAATCAGAAGTGAGTAAAGTTCATATGTGCTAATATAGCCTAGTATTAAATATACATTTACTGTGCTATGTACTGATATAGTTGGAGGTTTTTTTTAATACTTTAGTCCAGGGGTCTCCAAACTTTCTAAACAAAGGACTTAATTACTGTCCTTCAAACTTTATGGGGGCCAGGCTGTAGCCAGTGAGAGAAGAAAGTGCCCTGGTGTCAGTGGGAGTAAACCATGCCCTATCACTATATTAGGGGGAGTAATGGTGCCCCTACGTTATTATCGATGGGAGGAAAAGTGCTCCATAATTGGCATCAGTGGGAGGATTAGTGCCCCATCATTGGTGTCAGTGGAAGGAATAGTGACCCATCATTGGTGTCACTGGAAGGAATAGTGCCCCATCATTACTGTCATTGGGAGGAATAGTGCCCCATCATTACTGTCATTGGGAGGAATAGTGCCCCATCATTGTTGTCAGTGGAAGGAATAGTGATCCATCATTGGTAATAGTGCGTGGAATAGTGCTCCATCTTTGGTATTAGGAGGCGTAATAGTGCCCCTTCATTGGTATCAGTGGAAGGAATAGTGCCCCATCATTGGTGTCAGTGGGAGGAATAGTGCCCCATCATTGGTATCAGTGGAAGGAATAGTGCCACATCATTGGTGTCAGTGGGAGGAATAGTGCCCCATCATTGGTGTCAGTGGGAGGAATAGTGTCCCATCACTGGAGTCAGTGGGAGGAATAGTGCCCCATCATTGGTATCAATGGGAGGAATAGTGCCCCATCACTGGAGTCAGTGGGAGGAATAGTGCCCCATCATTGGTATCAGTGGGAGGAATAGAGCCCAATCATTGGTGTCAGTGGGAGGAATAGTGTCCCATCATTGGTGTCAGTGGGAAGAAAAGGGTCCCATCACTGGTGTCAGTGGGAGGAGGACAGTGTCCCATCATTGGTATCAATGGCAGGAATAGTGTCCCATCATTGGTGTCAGTGGGAGGAATAGTGTCCCATCATTGGTGTCAGTGGGAGGAATAGTGTCCCATCATTGGTGTCAGTGGGAGGAATAGTGACCCATCATTGGTGTCAGTGAGAGGACTAATGCCCCACTGTCAGTGTCAGGAACTAAGCCCCATTGTTCCTGACAGTGGAGGGAATTATGCCCTAAGGACTATATAAAAGCAAGTGAAGGGCCACAGTTTGAAGACCACTGCTTTAGATCCTGCTCACCATAACCTGTATGGTTACATTGTCTCATTGGGTCTCAAGCCCTACTCTATAGAAGCCATGCACTGCGCTGATGATGGCTGAAAACCCTGAAACAGCTGTATGTAGTCTGAAATAAATGGCTCTATAATGTGAGGATACATTTGCACTATACACCGGCGGTTTCTCTATGTGCCTTTGGTTGTTAGGCATGGCTCTGCTCAATGTCCTGAAATGTGGAACGTCCCTCTTATTGTTGGAATATGTGATGAAATGAGACATGCAAACACCTTTTGGTAAAGGAAACAGCGCACAGAAAGGAAAGGATACACCTCAACTCTGGATCATAAGATGAACTTATAATACTTATTGTCTCAATATACTACTGTTTTCCATGGACAAATATCTCTCCTGTTTTGTAGCATCTAATACAGACAGTTTTATATTTTTTTTTTTCTTGTTCTTTTTATTTATCTTTTATTTTTTTATTATGCGTTGTCCTTCAAGAGTGAAGGGAAGAAGGACGGGCGCAGGGGATGCATGGAGAAGTCGGAAGACTCTTTGGGAATTTACTAAACCTGGAGAGTGCAAAATCTGGTGCAGCTGTGCATAGTAGCCAGTCCGCTTCTAACAACAGCTTGTTCAATTAAAAAAAAAAAAAAATTGAATAACTCAAGAGCTAACTATGGTGAAATAAAAACAAAAAATGACAATTAAATACTGTAGCCGCTAGTGCACACAACCCATGTCTCAGTGGGGCAAATTATACAATCATAATGTGAAGCGAAAAAATGCTGCGCTGCATGAAACAATGGCACAACCCATTATATAACCAAAAAACAAAGTATATATTATTATTATTATTATATAAAGGATTTACTATAAATATATATATATATATATATATATATATATATATATATAATATAAATCTTGTTTAATATATAAATATATATATTAGAAGAAAAAGTAAAAAAAATTAATATTTAAATTAAAAAAAAAAAAAATAAATATATATATATATATATATATATATATATATATATATGTAAAAACAAAAACCACACAAAAAATAAAAAATAAAGAATATTTTTAAGTATGAATCAAACAAAAGTCATTCAAAAAATCAAGTTCAGTCAATAAAGTATTCATTCAGTGAACCCTCCTTTGGATAACGAAAAACATGTGCATCTGTCATCAATTCCCATGCAAAGGCATTCAGTTCAATTACGTTTTGACAATAAAAACTAGAAGCGGATTGGCTTCTATGCAGAGCTGCACCAGATTTTGCTCTCTCCAGTTTTAGTAAATCTCCCCCTTTGGGTTATTTTTATTAAAAAACACAGAGCTGTTAACTGATTGAAACTGCTTGTAAATTGGTTCTGTATGAATGGGGCAAAAATAAATATTTCCAGGCTATATGCTCTGCAATTCCCTGCAGGAGCAAATTGGATCATGCGTTGCTGGTTTTTTTTTTGCCTTCCTCTGGATCAACTGTGGGTATAGGATTATGAGGGGTCGTCGGCATGCAACCTATACGGGGTGACACTGGACCCGCTCCACGAAAAGGTAAGTTATAAAGCAAGCCGACAATCTCCGCACGATGGATCGGATCTGCGGATTGGGGAGCATAATGGATGGGACTCTGATCTGCGGGGATCGTCGGCATGCAACCTATACGGGGTGACACCAGACCCACTCCACGAAAAGGTAAGTTGTAAAGCAAACCGACGATCCCCGCAGGATGGATTGGATCTGCGGATTGAGCATAATGGATCAGAGTCCGATTCATTATGCTCAATCCGCAGATCCGATCCATTCGGCGTTCATCGTCGGAGGGGGTGTCACCAAGTGTTATCGCACTGGGTGACACCGACCCTAGGGATGCCCCTGCAGCTCTGCATAGAAACCAATCAGCTTCCAGTTTTTTTCTTTTTTGTCAAAGCTCAATTGGACAAGTTGAAGTTAGAAGCTGATTGGCTGCCATGCACAGCAGCACCAGATTTTGCACTCTCCAATTTTTAATAATTCAACCCCAGTATGTCAGGTACCTGGGTGGAGGCTGAAGTGATGAGAGGGATTTCCTTGCAGGCAGCTCTGATCCAAACACACCTGAAAGTGGAAACAGGAGTGCAAGGCTCAGGGTAGCATGGGTGCTGGATACCTGGACAGAAGGTAATGGTCTGTAGAGATGGTGACTGATGCAGCAGAAGAATGCCCCTTGATCACTCACAGATGGAGGTGTGGTAGGCAGAGTAGAACCCAGAAGACAGATCTGGACGGCAGGGTAGCCAGGACCTAATGTAGGTAGGTGGAAAGATGTGGTCTGGGAGATGAGCCGAGGTCATATGTGGTTAGACAACTGGAAGAGGAGACGTGGTCAAGAGCCAGGCCAGGCCCATACACAGGTAGGCAGCCGGTAGCAGAGACAGGGTTGGTAGACAAGCTGGGGTCATGCACAGTTAAGCAGGCAATAACAGAAGGAAG